TGTGTGTGTGAGACAGAGAGAGCAGGAGCAGTGGGCGGGGCTGCCTGTGCAAGCATATACATTGGATTGATTTTAATTACTTTAATGAAATGTGCACTGCGCACTGTTAAAAGTAAAACTTGATCGGGACATCCCCAGTATATAATTCTAATTTAATTTTATTAGTTGATTGATGCTGAGTTTAGTTTAACCTAGCCAGCTGTAAAGGTTCAGCGCAGTCAGTAGAGCACTTTGCTAATTGCAGGGTTTTATATTAATTCCCCTCTCGGATGAACAATGTTTGCAGTCATGGTGTTGACATTTTGTATAGATGTGTTCACCAAACACCATGTTATGTTCATGTACATATAATATGGAGTTCAACTGCAGCTGTTCAGCCTGAGTCAGTGGTGGTGAGCTTTATATCCATTCTATCCTACCACCCACTACTCTTTAAAAAGGAAGAAAAATACATTACAACTTTAAAATTTTTTTCACATTTTTGTGCTTGTTCATGTATCAGCACACAGTTTCCTCACCCGTCACTGAGGCTCATCTGGGACTGGAAGGGACTGTTGTCCTGGCTGCGGCCCAGACTGCAGCTCTCATCGCAGCACAGAGATGGGATCAGGTGGACGGGACCTGAGCGTCACACACACATATTCAACTTTAAACAAATGGAAATTCACCCACCTGCTATTACCTCCTAGTCTAAAGGCAAAGTTAGGCCACGCTACAGTGTACTGTTAGAATGCAATATTTTCCTTATAGTAATTGGTGGTTTGCCAGAACACAGCTGTAGTGTGAAATGTCTGAAGCACAACCTACCACAGGTGTGTCCGGGGCCCAGGTGACACTGGCAACAGGGTCTCTGGGGAAAGTCATGGAGCCAGCGAGGGTCCAGGCAGGATAGCTCTGCTCCACCGTAAGGACAATCCTGGGACCTGAGAGAGGCCGCTGAGGACATGTGGGAGACAGTCAGGCACTGGTATCCATTTAGCAACCACGGCATAGTTCTGCTGGGACTTCACTTACATTACTAAACAAAAGGGATAAACAACAGCCAAAGACTCTTTTCACAACTTGGTAACCTAAACTCTGGCCCTATTAATTAATTATAACTGATGTGTGACGCATTTGTTTTTGAAAAAAAGCTCATTTCCCATTAAGAGTAATAACAGAATAGTAATTGCTGCTGTCAGGCGAAATCCTCACAGCTCTGGTTGTGGTGTTTACCTGACTGAACTTACACGCTCTCTTATGTGTTGGGAAATGCCTCTCAACCCTCGGGTCCATGAGGCCGATTAAAATTCCTTTGTATAATTTAAAAACAACTGTGTTAGCGTTTTGTAGCGACTTAGATGAAGGGTGGGGTGCATGTTTGGACTGAAGCTACTGGCAAAATATTTCACTCGTACGTTCCCTTTACACCATTACAGTGAGAAAAGTCAGAAGTGGTAACGCCTTCTACGAGACTCTTTGTTTCAGGTGAGCTTACCAGGGAAACGTGATGTCATTAATTCTTCCCCTCGGGAAGTTTCACATAATCACACACTTTTGGCCTCAAGAATGCTGCTCATTATACAAGTTCCCACAAATATGCAACATCAGGGTTTAATAAGGCTTAACACTGGAGATCACAACTGACAGATGAACTGGCACTCTGTTTGTGTAGTTAACAAAAGAGCGATGAAATCATGCTCATCCAGCTGGATGTACTCTTTATTTAACTTATTAAGGGCTCTGTAAGTGCCACTCATATTTTAACATACATATATCTTGCACAACGTTGATGCATTAAGAGTTCAGTATTGTAGGCCCGGCAGTGCACTTAGAAATAGGGTTGCACACAAGCGAGTAACACATTTGGGATAACTTATCACCATGTATATCTTCTTACATAATACATTTTGGAGTATATGGTAAAGTATGGGAATCTTAACTAGAGAACAAATTGTACTAAAGATTCACTGGATGTGCATTGAAGCTCTTGGGGACGGGGGACGGGGGGGGGTTCAAAGTTCAATGCTGGCTGCACAGAACCACATACAAACCCGGCTTGTGCAAGATACACTGCCTCCATAGACAGCAGCGTCAGTGGTGCATAAAAAAAGTCTTCCTAGCAAAATGAGAACCTAAACTTATGCTTCTGCATTGAAGACTGTGTACATTTTACCAATCACCAATCATTAGTAAATTGTTTAGAAGAAGCCACTAATGACACCTCTTTCTTGGTATCTATTAAACACACATGTCGTGATTCTGAAAATAAAAATTGCAGACTGTGCAGACTCACCACTGGGCTTCTTCTCCAGCAGCTGTCTCTTGCAGTAGATGACACACAGGACGAGCAGGGCCAGCAGCACGGTGGCCAGAGCGCTACAGATCACTGCGGCCAGGGCCATGTCCCGCGGGCTGGTCACCACCGACGGCAGCGGCACCAGGTTCACACGCCCGCTGCCTGCAAAGAAGGTAGAATGAGATGAGTAAACAACCTAAATTGAGAGTTTAAGACCCAACAACTGATCTCTGATGAGTAGCAGTTGTGAAAAAGGCCGGGGATAACGCATGATGAGGAGAAGTTACTTCATATTACCCGACACTCCTCAGCCAAACAGAATCGGGTAACGTGAGACAAATTATCCCTTCTAGCCTTGAGCTCATCTCTTTGCTAAGTCTAATGAAATAAGCAGAGGAGTTCAAAGAGAAAACGCCTGTGGTGGATTCTCTCTTTATCTACCTCTGTCTCGTTCCCCACAGAAGATGATTTACAGGCATTTCTCCCCCTAGGGCTTCCTCACATGCTAGTCACACAGCCCTGAAATCAAGAAGCAGACATGCTGGTCAGCCTTTTGAAACAGGTTGGATATGAGTGTGTAGGCTGACGGAGAGAGATAAACAGATTGGGCAAACACCAGGAGTGTTTTTTTTATCATTGTGTGCGTGCGGTGAGCACATGCACTGATTTCACAAGTACGCTGCTGTATATCAGTTCTCCTGCCCGAGGGGAAACGTGATGTCACTGTTTCAGGACCCTTCACACACTTACATAAACACTTTAGGCCTCAAGAATGCTGCTCATTATACAAGTTCCCACAAATACAGAACATCAGGGTTTAATACGGCTTAACGGTAGATATCATAATGTAAGAGAGATATACTCGCACTCTTGTTTGAAAAAAAAAAAAACTGGCTACAGCTACATGTAATTATCCTTTCAAGCACTCATCAGAGATAAGGGGACAATACGGGATCCAAATGCAAATGAAAAAAGAGTAGCAAAACTCAAAACACAACTGGAACTTTAAATCACTCTCAAACTTTCTTTTTTATCCACTTGGACAGTTAAACAAGTTAAAAACATAACGTTAATATATTATCACCTTATTAAGTTGTTATCGCGAACATGTTTGTTTATCAGAGATTTTTTGCTGAAAACCGCCAACCAGCGAAAAACCAAAACAAAGCTGGAATACGCTAAAATGTATCAGGTTATACTTGTTTACTTTTACATTACAAAAAGGCATTTAATCCATTGTTAATATACAAATGTTGATTATAGTGCTTGTTTTCATTGGTAATATATGTAAAACAGTAAAAAAAAATGCCTGCATTTTCAAGTATAATGAGGAGAACACAAAATGCTGATTTTTAATGATTGAGTCTTATGCTCTTAAGTTCTGTGTGTGAATTTAGCTCTTATTTACAATTGGCCCTTTAACACTAATAAAATCACAATAACCCATTGATACGTCAAACACCCTGAGGGGGAAAATACCACTCAAATGAATCCCTCACATTCCGGTCGAGGAGACATCACTCAGTCTTTAATAGGTAACGTGTAATTATATAATATAATATGGATAAGCAACAAGTCTTTCTTTCTGACTACAGGTTGAGACTGAATCATAACGTTAACAAATCGTTTAGCTTTCTGATGTACTTGGAGTGACTGGGTTATGGACATCCTAAACCAGCAGTATCTGCAGCAGCACATACTGATCCTCTGCAGCTGCTCATCACACAGAAACTGTATACAGAGAAACAGTGGCTCGTCAAGGAGCAGTGTTACATCAGCATGTGAGCCGCATGTCAACCTCAGTCTCTGGTGTGTAGCTTTAAGAGGGAGTTGGAGGAGAAACAGTAGCACGCCTGAATTCTCAAGTTGACTGACATTTCTCTCTGAGGCTAAATACGTGTAGCTTAACATAATTGTCTCTGATGAGAAATCAAATATAATTTCCCTGATCAATGTATGTATGATAAAGAGGGTGTGGGTTACTGCAGAGCAAACATGGCAAATATGCAGGTATAATTCTGTGAAACATGGACCGGTTAACAACTAAATGAATTGTGAGAGAGGTTGTTGATGAATATGGCAAATATCACAAATGACTTTTTGTTTGACAAAATCTTTTTCAGTTAGCCTTGCTGTTTGCTTTACAGTACATTAATCATAAAGAGAACTGGTTTCAACCTTTTCACATCCAAGAGCTCTTTGTTATGCAATGTAAACATTACTTTAGCTTTGGGCATTTTTTTTTATTCAGCTAGATAGGGGATAAGGGTATTTTAACATTCCTTCTAAGGGAAAAAAAAAGGAAATTTCAAAGCAGTGTTGCAAAACTTTGTTTGACCCAGAGGGCACAATAAAGGAGTGTTTTGATATAAAGCACTGAAAAGTGCATTCAAAAACATATTACTTATCATTAAAGATACTGCCACATTCCTGTGCCAAATATTAAAAACTGTTTTGACTGCCAATATCCAGACAGATCTAAAATCACTCTCTAAATGATTAAGTCTTTATAAAGGTATTTGTATTAAAGGCCTCTGTGTACAATTAAGCTGATACATTTTTCTTTGTATTTAATCCTACTGATCACCTGTTGAGACATAAACGGACATTAAATGACAGTAGAGCGACAGAGGCATTCTCTCACTATTAACAACAAAGTGTATATTAAACATAATTATTACTAACAATGGTGTGTTCTTTCTCACAATGATCAGGTGTCACACCACTTTGTTTTATATTGAAGTTTAAGACTTAATGAGGTTCCTTTAGCAGGGATTACCATAATAATCTACATATACACAAAGAGTGTGTTGTTGAGTCTGTATTGTATTGGTGGTCCATAGATGTAACATCTGACCATTGTGTTTACAGTTGGTCTTCATTGTCAAGGTCAAACTCAACTCATCCAAGGTGAGCATCATCTGCCCCACAACACAAAGACAGCCTGTTATCAGAGGCCCAGCAGCTGCAGCAAACACAGATAAACACTGGCCCATTGAAGAAACCTCACCTGCTGATATTATCTCCACACAAACCAGACCAATAAACCACAGCCTTTCATAGACTCCCCGCCTGTTGACTTTATGGAAAGCCACATACTCCAAATAAAAGAAGCACTTCTTTACACCTCAGAAGGATCGTTGACTTTTGTCTGTACAAACTCTTTTAAGAGGCTCTTTAGGAGAACTACGCACTGTTTTACACAAAACTCTGAAGAACAAAAAAAAGAACATTTTCCATTTTTTGGTGTGTACAGTTTAGAGCTGTGAACAGTATTTTATATTCACACACATATATATGGTTCAGCCTTGAAAAAAACTTGATAAGTGGATCCATTTCAGACAGAATATAAAATGTTTGAGTTTAGTTCAAGGAGATGTGCATCTTATCATCTGTTATTCCCTTAAATTATTGATCATAAATTATTCAGTTTTTTCAACTAGTTCAACAGCGTCTGCTGTAGAGAAGCTTCTCCAGATGCAAATATATTCTACACAAAAACTCAGTTTTATGTAGTATCATTAAAAGAGGTACAACAGACAACATTAAAACACAATAAACTAAATAAGCATGCTGGAATGATTCATAACACCCAGGGTGTTGCGTTTATGGCAAAACAATTTACCGACGTCTCTTCTTGTAATGTGGCAACACCAAACATCATTATGCTTTACAGTTGTGGTTTGATAATTGCATGATAACTTTATTAAGACAGCAGTGAGAATAACCTGATCATTACAGCTGCTGACATTTGAGTGGCTTTTGTTGACTGTTGAAATGTTCGGGGTAGTATTGCTGGCAGGCAACTGTAGTAAGGCATGTTTCCTGTACC